GGCAGCACAGGGGGGAGTGGGAGTGAGGGTGGTGACGGATTCGGTTCCGTCGGAGGATCCATCATTGTCTCAACCACGAATTCCCTCAGGCAGAGAACTGAACACACATTGCTTCAGACCGGGGTTGCTCCGTCGGTAGAGCCGACGGGTCCCCTCCCACGTTTGAGCCCCGTCATTCACTTGCCTTTCTTGCTTTTGAAGCTGATAAATCAGTACTACTCTCTGTAATGGAACCACAAATGAAACTAAACAGTGTGCTTACCACATTTTTGTTGTCGATTCTGACTTTATGATAAGGCATTCCTGTCTGATGACATGGAAGTGAAGATCAATGCCATTCCATTAACCTGATAAAATGAAGGGCGTCAGAAATGACTTCAGCATGAAAGTGTATGGAAGAATGACATTCCACGGTTGCACGCTATTTTTTTCTTTCATGACCCTTGTATCATGTAGTTCCTTACTAATTCCTCACTATTTGGTTTCTAATTGATTTACTCAGATGGATGAAAGACAAGTTGATCCGGCGGGCATTCGAGTCTATGGTCGTTCTGTCGCGTATCTTATGCTCTACTGACTGAGCCACAAGGGCGGGAAAGTATAACCACCGAATTGCATCAATTAAATTATTTTTTATTCCATTTAATGAGTAGTTCGAGAAGCGGATCCTTCCAATATTCTGTTGACAAAAATTAAATTCTCAGTCCTCAGTCAGTCTGTAACAGTGGCACTTGCTGTTGCGTGAATTTTGTTCCACCTTTCAGGATCGCGTTTCAGCAATGCCAATGATTTGCTATTACAAACCGTGAGGTGTCGATTTCACGAGTCTCGAGCGTTGTTAACATATGCATTGTTTCGTCGGTAGTTAGGCCTTCGGCCTTCGTTCACTCATAATGGCGAATAACCATCGTCCGTTGTTATCGTTTTCTCATCGTCATCTGAGGTTAACCGAGTTTAAACGACAACGCAACCCAGATTTATGATATCTAGCCGTTAGAATGGTATATGCGACTGGTATTTGGCGATATTCACTGCTCCGGCAAAGATAATGTTCCTTTCCACAAGCAGGTTTACCTCTTCGAGGTGTTTGCATGTTTTGCAGGCGAGCAAGAAAAGTTTTGAATATATTCCCATTCTCCTTTTGAACCGTTTAATGAAATCAAGCTATGCACCGGTCCTTTAGTTCAACTGATAGTTTTCTCAGACCGGTCGGTTCATAAACCGGTGGTATTATCGCAAATTGATTATACTTCTCACACAACGTTGTTACAATCTGTCAAGACGAAGGTGATGACGCTTTAGAAAGCGGATACTTCGAGGTTCAACAGGAGCACCGCGAATGCGGCTGCTTTCAGGATTGTGTTCATCGTTAGTGCTGCTTATCAGCTTTCGCCTCACGTTTCCTGGTTGATCGATAATCGTCCACTTCCATTCCTTCTCATACCTGGCATCAGTCGATCATTCCATTCACATGAATTTGCCTTTTGTTCGCATCGAATCTTATTATGCCTCACTAGTTATACAAACGCCTGTGTTTAATAGACACAGCATATTAAAACATGCCGAAGATTGCCGCATTCATGCCATTTTATGTCTGTGTACTTCCTGGCCTGTTTCATGATGCGTCAACACCTTTCTTCCGGTATTTGGTCCTTGCACAGATTCCATTAGCGTTCCACATTGACCCTAGCCAAGTTTTGAAACTCGGTCATTCAGATTTGTATTTCGGTACGATTTGTTGTTTGTCACTGCAAGCGATAGGGTCTCGATTTCATTCACCGCGAAACTGGACCTAATTAAATAATACCCGATTATATAATTACCAATACGAAAAAAATGAATGTATCTTTTACCTACCAGACGACGTTTCACATTGAACGTCATCAACGCACAAAATATCTGTCATTAAGTGTGAGATTAGTTGCCTCTTCGTGCCGCTGTCGATGGAATCGGAAATGATGGTCGTCACGACTAATTAAATTCTGCCATTGCAAGTGCAACATACCGAGTTACAATTTACATCCTCCATTGAGAGGGTTAACAGGATGACGCGAAGTTTTACTGCACCGTTCTTGGATTTCAGCAGTTCCAGATTTTTCGTGGACGATTTTCAAAGACTGTCTGCTTAGCGCTTTCTTTTTTTTTCGCTTATGATCAATAATGGGAGTCATTAGCCTCTGGTCGTCAGGTATAATGGTGAAAAAATTTTATTATGGTTCTTTCTTCATTTTTAATTTTGGCAGGGTCACATTCTGGATTTTGTAGGCAATATTCTTGTAAGTGGACAGATTTTCCTTCTCGGCATAAACATGTAACAGACTTTCCCTTTGTCATCCCGGGAGTTACCACTGTTATTTTATCAGACCATGGTATAATATATGATAAGTGGTTTGCGGCTCTCGCCACGACTAGGGTGATGAATGCATTCCATAGTACATGGACATGAAACAGCATTATTTTTCTTTGTCCGCTGTTAATAATATGGCTGTCGACAAAGATTTTCTAATTTCTGGTGGGAGGAGTACTGCTGCCTCAAATTCGCTGAACTCGTGTGATGTGGATGAAAACAACGAAAACGGGACATTGGGGTTGCAGGATAGCCTGCCGCTAGTTTTGTAAATCAGCCACGGTCTTTTAAGGCTTTGAAATCCACACCGGCCGTAATTCAATAACAAAGTAATAACGGTTTCTCCAGCTGTCGCTTGAATAACGGTGAGCAGCTGCCATGCGTGAATTCTGCTTCTGACCTATGCTGTAGACTCTTTTAATGTTTGTTAGCAATTGATTACGAAATAAGCATGTCACCATCTCACTTTTTTATCAATATTTGTGCACTATCGAATTAAAAGACTTTTTTGGTCTTTTATTATTTATACTCCTTTACATGTACTGATTACACATGCTCGTTTTTATGTTGAAAGCATGGTAGTATCATTGCAAACAGCCTCTTCCTCTAGTATCCCTGAGGGCTGTCAGCTGACTCGGCTCTCCCGCGTCTTCAGTGCTGTAAAATCGTTCTTGACGATAAATAATATCAGTGGTGGCTGCGAGCATTTGCTTTCTGCATTTTCAAAGGGAATGTAGTTAAGACTCATAAATTAAGCAAATGGTCTTTATGTGCCATTTATTTATTCGTTCTCAAGGTCCGCTATTCTTTTCGAGTGTGCTCCATATAATCTAGCCACCTGGTCCACTGCCTGCCTCTGGGTGTTCTTTTCTCTGGCATTACCATTTTTACCTGAATGGTTCTCATCATGACCATCTAATAGCGGTTGTGATGTCTTAACTTGAAATAAAACAAAAAATTGAGGTTACGCTTTGTGATGATTATTGCACTGCATGGTCAGCTATTTGGTGAGTGAAGGTGAAGTGCAGTCACGCCGGCTGCTTGCCTCAAACAACGTGGCCATGCACTTCGTCCATTCTGGTATGACCAGCCCAGAATACCATGCTATCCTTACTATTCGCAGGCCACTGACTTACTACCGGTTTTTTGGCTGGCTACCTCGAAACGACGTGGAATGAATTTGTTGCTGAAATTTAAGATTGAGTTCGCGGTTGAGACAGATTGCCCCTTCTTCGGATTCGAACCCGGTACTTCAGGAGTTTAAAGCTGACCTCTTAGGTACTTTGACTCAACATCACCAACCACATCTAGTTCGAAACGAGTTACAACCGAGGGCATCATCTCTAACTGCAGTGGAATTTATCGAGTCTCATCAGAAGTCTTGCGAGGAAACCTAATGTTCACTTGTATTAGCCAAAATCGTCTTTACATATATAGCTATTATTATTATTAATTCATGCTATACACTAAGCAAACTCGCAGGCAAACGCACTAAACGTGGAGCTGTTAAGCAGAGGCGCGGGTGTGATCCATTAAAAAGTCATGTTTTTTGAACTTCTATCGTAGAGGCATATGTCAGACGGCATGGCAAGGCAAATAATGGTTATTGTTTCCATAACAAGCTGCGATAGTCATAAAGGCAAAAATGGACTTCAGGCTATTCAATATTACACCCCGTGAGAATCTGATGAGGACAAAACATACTGTGACTACCCCGCCGAACAAAAAAATAAGAGCCATCATCCTTATCTGCGAAAGGAACCATAAATTAAGCGCTGTGCAATGACCCTCTTCATTTCTGTTTCTTTAAATATAAAAGGGGTGATAGTCACCCTTCGAATACGTGAAAATTAGCAGGGATTGTTTAGTGCATGGCAGCCTTATTCAAACTGAAAGAGCGGTATGCTTTGATTTATAGATTTTCATGTTCAGAATATTTGTGAATTTATTTAATTGCGTTGTCAATTGCTTTGAGTACCTTTCGGCATGATCCGACTATTCAATGGGCGAGTTTTCATTTAGATTAATTACAGCGATTCTGAATAAGTTGTACTTATTAAACATTCATGTATTTCCCTAAAGAATACGACAGCAACAATTTATAGCTTGAGCTCAGACAAGAAGCGGATGGTCTTTCAGCAAAACAATGACAACGAAAAAAAAATATAACAGAATAGGTTTCAGCATTCTATATAGAAAAATTTTGCGTAAATTACATGAAATATAATGAACTTAGAACATGTTCTCAATAATCCGAAACCAGACAGGAAGAAAACAACAGGGTTTTCGTCAATGATTGAAGATATTCATTAACTCTGCTCATCCCCGTTATCTAAAACTTTTATGTGGT